GCAGTTTCCATGATGTGACGGTGCTTGCGTTCAGCCACACCATTTTGCTCAGGAGTTTCAGCACAGGAAGATTGTTAAAGAGTACCATCTGACTGTAATAAGTGAAGAAAATCACTAACACGATATTCCCCACCTAAATCACATCAAAAACATTTAATAACAGAAGAGTATTGGGTTTGAATCATGGCACGAAAAGCAATATAGATAGAGTAAAATTCAGACTGGTGCTTCATCAAATAAATCCAACAGTGACAAGTATAATCATCAATAAAAGAAACATAATATTGGGAACCCCCTTTAGTGGGAATGGGTGCAAGATCCCACACATCAGAATGCATAAGATCAAAAGGTTTAGACGAAGTAGTGAAACTTTTATTAAATGGTAAAGCAGTAAACTTTGCTAGTTTGCATCCACTACAATCGGAAATATTATGACTACTCAAAGAACCTAAGACACCAGTAGAAACTAAATACTGTAAACGAGAACTAGGCACATGACCAAGGCGAGAATGCCATAAATAAAAAACAAACGACTTAGGACTCAACCGAAAAGAAAACAAATCAACTGAAGATGCAGCAAGGGGAGGAACATGCAGCGTCTCCAAAACATATAACCCTCCCAACCTACGGCCGGTCCCAATCAGCTGCTTGGAATGAGGATCCTGCACTGGGAATGGCAACGGGCCGGGGATCACCCCCCCCGTCCCCGATCCCCGAAGCTGCAAAACTCCCCATCCTCGCCCCCGATCCCCGGTGGGGAACCCATCACTCCCTCTACCCCCGCCCCCTAACGGGGATCGGGTTTCCCCGACCTCGGAAAATCCCCATAACTCTCTCTCTCTCTTTCTCTATTTTTAGCTTTCCCTCTCAATAATAAATCATCAACAACATTTTCATTAACAACATCATCAAAAAAGAAAAAAAAAAAAAACAGAGTCAAAAGAAACAAAGTCGGATAGAGACGCACACACACACATATACACACATACATGAGATCTGAGATATGAGAAAGGGAATCGGCGGTGGCGGTGGCGGGATTTGCTTAGATCTGCCGTGGCGGAGGGAGGAGGAGAAGGCGGTGAGAGGCGACGGAGGAGAAGGTGGCGAGAGGCGATCCGACTGCGGAGAAGGAGACAACGACGCCGTCGCCGACTACGCCATCGGATAAGGAAGAGATGGAGAGAAGAGAGAGTGTGTGAAAGAGACAAATCAAAGGGGAGAGTGAGAGGAGAGAGAGAGAGTGAGAGAGAGACAGATCAGAGGGGAATTAATAAATGGGGGGTTTATATATATATGAATAAATTGAGGGTATTATGGTAATTTTATTTTGGGGAGAAACGGGGCGGGGGATGGGGCTATGAAAGCTATCCCCGTCTCCGGCCCGTCGGGGGTATTTTTCAGGGAAAAACCACTCTTATCGGGAACGGGGGGTCGGGTCCCCGTCGGGCCGAGTTTAAATTGCCATCCCTATCCTGCACAACACAACCAAATTCAAAGAAATAAACACAATAACCAATGGCACAAAGTTGACTAATAAGATTCAAAGTTAACTAAGGAATACAATAAACATCCAAAAGAGAGAGAGTATCAGTCAAAATGGACCCAACCCCGGCCAAAAACATAGGAGTACCATTGGCGACCGCAACAGTAGTAGCAGTAGAAAGAGGAGAAAAGATAGACAATAAGAGGAAGGAATCATGAGTCATATGATGTGTAGCACCAGAATCAAAAACCCATATGGAAAAAGATATACCTGGAGGAGATAAGAGGGAGGAAGACAAACCAAGAGGTGAGGAGACAGCTAAGGCATTTGGTGTATGAGTAGAGAGGAGTTTCTGCAGTTGTTCAGCAATAACAGTCAAAGATGGAGAGGAATCATCCACTGAAGAAGTTGTGGCAGCTGTATGTCCCTTTTTCCAAGAGGATGATTGGCCAAAATGCCTATCAGAATTCTTTCTCCAAGTCAGTGATTGCCCAAATGGTGGACAGCCCAAAAGCCGAGGACACTGAGCCTTCCAGTGACCTTTTTGATGACAAAAGCAGCATTCATCCATAGGAGCACGAGAATAGGAATTGCTGGGAGTAGTAGAAAAATGACTAGTAGGAACAGCTAGAACTGTCTGAGTTGGCAAAGGAAGCAATCCTTTGCCAGGAGCTGTTTTGAAGCGTAGTTCTTCAGCCAATAACTCATTAACCACAAAATCAACAGAAGGGAGAGGACTCCGATGCAGAATAGTGCCGCGAAGCCCCTCAAAATCAGCCCTAAGGGCCATTAAGAATTGAACCAGCTGCCACTCCTCCCAATAAGTACAATATGCCGCATGAGTGCTTAATGACTTAGGCTCAGTAAAAGCTAATTGATCCCACAGACCAGTCATGGAAGAATAAAATGCCTGGATACTCTTATCGCCTTGTTGAGTAGCACAAATCTCATGTTCTGACTGAAACCGTTTAGCAAAATTTGATTGAACATACAACTGAGATAGATGATCCCAAATTTGTTTCGCAATAGTGAACTTGGCAAAATGAATCCCAATAGACTGATCTACAAAATTATTAACCCAAATAATAATCTTGGCGTTAGTAACTTGCCAAGTAGAGAGCAAATCTTGAAACTTTTCAACATTGGCATCAGTGGGCATAGGAGAATCACCAGTAGCAACATCTTAAACATTTTTACCCAGAAGAAAATTTTTCATGACATAGGCCCAATAAACATAATTATCTCCCACTAACTTCACGCTAATGGCTTGAAGTGAATCTGACATTCCACTAGACATGATATCAAAATATAAAGAACTTCACAGAGAAGACCACAAAGAAGTCACAAGGAAACAGCAACACAAAGAAGAAGAGAAGCTGCAACAGATTACCTAAGTATCACACCTTCGAACCAAACGAACCAATATCAGTCGTAATTAGAAGAACCAAACGCGACTGTGAGATGAGAGGGAGAGTCGTGAGGAAAAAACGACTTCGACTGTGAATCGCGACTTCGTGAGGCACAGACAAGCCCACTCGACTTCGACTTCGCAAGGCACCAACACGACTGTGAATCGCGACTTCGTGAGGCACAGACAAGCCCACTCAACTTCGATGCAAGGGTGTATAGCGGCAAACGAAGAGAAGCAACCATAAACTTGCCTTCAGTTCATACCAACACCAACGAGAGGTTAGCTATCAAAACCTTGCTCTAATACCATGAAAACTTAGTTAGGAACTAAGTACCGTATTATTCAATTAAAAGGAAAAGAATTACAAGAAATATATATATACATATAAGACAACTATGCTAACCCTAATTGCTACCAATGACTAAACTACCCTTAATACACATATGCTTAACACTGTGTACAACTCTAAAATGGTTCAAAAGTAGTTTATACTCTTCCATTATTAAACTCAAAATCATCTTATTTTACCAATGTTCCAGCCTCTACAAACTGATTAAAATCACCCCTGGCAAAGGACTTTCGCTGCTTCCATATATTAAATATTGGCTCACAGCTTGTGGGATAGTGTCCTTTGCACTTGTTCTACATCAGAAGTTGATCGAGATAAGTGGCAGCAACCAACTATGCTAACCCTAACTGCTACCAATGACTAAACTACCCTTAATACACCTATGCTTAACACTGTGTACAACTCTAAAATAGTTCAAAAGTTGTTTATACTCTTCCATTATTAAACTCAAAATCATCTTATTTTACCAATGTTCCAGCCTCTACAAACTGATTAAAATCACCCCTGGCAAAGGACTTTGGCTGCTTCCATATATTAAATATTGGCTCACAGCTTGTGGGATAGTGTCCTTTGCACTTGTTCTACATCAGAAGTTGATCGAGATAAGTGGCAGCAACCCTTTAAGGTTTACAAGGGACATGTAAGAGACACTCATGCATTGGATGATGTACAACCCACTTGGGATGCCTAAGGCATTTAGGAGTGATTCTTAGAACTTTCTTCTTTTCCGTCGTTCTTTGTTGAATTCTCTGCACTTAAAACACCAAAACCAGATTTGTTACTTTTTATCTATACTTCCTATTCTCTAAACCTAAACCTATCCATCCCAAACCTCTGATCTGATTACCTGAAACAATTAAAAGTACAAAAACACTGTTCACATGTACTGTTCACACCGCCCGAAACAGTCCCAAAATCCTGGTTGTTTCCCTATTTAGCCAAGCCCTAACCATACTTCCTTCAATACATATTTAAACCTCAATATTTTCCCAAGAATAACAGCTTTAAACTGCAAGAAAACTTACTAATTTCAGCTTCTTAGATCCTTCAACATACTGTGCTACATGATAGATTCATTGAGTTATTAGGGTCACCCAACATATATATATATGCTCTAACTTGAGTGTTGAGAAATAATATTTGTCAGAAAGGTAAAATTATGATCTTGCTTTCGTAAGTTATTGTATATAAATGGGGAGTGTATGGGTTTGGCCTTTTCTCTTTCTCTATTATGTTTCATTCTCTTCTCCATTCTCTCTTGCATTTTTTTTTCTTTCTCTATTCTTCATAGCAGCTGTTCGTACACTCTTATTTTGTCCTATTGCTCCTACATCATAATGTGTTATCATAATGTGAAGCAAAAGTTTTTCCTAACATATAGGTGATACAACTGAAGGACATTGCAAATAATATTGTGTATTGAAAATCATGGCAATTATTGTTATTACGCCTATTTTGGATGAAGAATCATAGGACAAGAATTAAGATTTAAACACATACCGTTTATTTGTTATAGAACTCATCATGATTATAGCATTCTTAAAAAATACTTGCTGGTAGATGACTTTACAAAATCCATCATAGACAGTCAGAATTAAAATCAAATCATTTTAAGTGAATAGAAATTCTCATATGAGAAACAAGAGTTATATAACTTAGGTAGAATACATACAGAATCACCAGACACTCTGCAATATAACTGAGGTAGGAAATATATAAAGATTTAGCACAAAAGTTTTTGGTTTGTAAATACTTACGTATCGCGCAGGTGATACCATAAGGGCAGAAGAAACCCTCACAACAAGGCAGGCAATTAAGGGTTCTATCAGGCACCTCCTTTGAACTTTTGAGGTCAACTTTTTTACCTTTTCCAACACTACAAGACCATCCTGGCTCACAACCAGGAACCCATGAGGTTAAATTACAGTTCCTATTAGGTTTCAAGTAGTTTGTTTTCTTTGAACCCCCTTGAAAGAAACTACTGAAGAAAAACTTTACTTCTGCTGCTGTGCACAAACGCTGTGGAAGATCTCCTGTTAATCGACCAAAAAAATGCCACTGATGTTAAAAAGTTATTGTGACCAACTAGGCTCAGTTCCAACTTACTGTAAAAAGTCAGGACAAGGGAAGAAATGAGAAGCAACATGTGCTTTGCAAATTCCAATCAAATGAGATCCATCATCAAACAAACCATTTTGTTTATTGATTAAGCTTAATAATACCTTACTGTTAATAATAGACCAAAAAGATTATGGGTTTACAAAACTGATCACATCGATTATTCAATATGGGAACTGATAGACCTTTTTCTTTCTTTTTTTTCTTTTGGAAGAATTTCTTTGTTTAGTTACTGCTAACATTTTCTCTACAAGTTGGAGTCATATCCTTGCCGCAGGAACAGAAGGATAAGCCAGCCATTTCTCAATTGCGAATGGCCAACAGCCAAATAGAATAGCTAAGTGGATGAAAAGGATATCTTACTCAAGATGGGCACAGAACGTGAAAATGAAATTATAAACTTATGCGAACTGGAATAAGGGAATGCCAATGACAAGCAAATAACAAAGAAATCATACTGTTGATGAATTAGTCCAGACATTGAAGTTCATTAAACATTGCTTAGCTGGTTTCTTGAATATGCCCCAGTTCTTGAATATGCTCATTATCAAAACAATTACTGACAGACGTAGTAGTAGTTTGTTGATGTTTCTATTGCCCACAAGATCTCCACGTCTACTCCAAACGGAATAGTAACTTGGCTCTTGCTACTTGAGTTGGGGCACCAATCAGTCCATTCATAGTTGTTCCTCATTTAATCTAACAATCCTCAATGTTTAGCCTCTTCTTCCCGTGAAAACTAGCTATCCTCCAGTGTAGTGCATGGCTTTCAAGATGTAGAACCCATGCCAATAACTAATTTCACTAGCATAAAACTTGTTCACATATGATGTTGTCATCATGCTTTAATTAGTCTACCAATTCTTTGCTTCTACAAGGCTGTTTGTTGGCAATGGGGAACACCCAAGGATGTTATGCAAAGAATAAATTAAGGAATATGGAGAAAATTAAAGAGAAACAAAGGACAACCAAAAAGCAAGGTTTTAGATGGTCTGGCAGACTGGCACTAGGCCCACCATGTCTACAAGTCCACAAGGGATCAGTGGGAGGATACCACTGTCAACTTTGAGATGACAAGAACATTCTAAAATATACTTAGACCCAATAAGTTGGTAAATCGCACTTACATCTGTTTCACACTCACCCCCAAAAACTCATCAGTGCTTTACCATAACCTGTGAGTACTCGTAACCCTCCTTTACGTGCATGGTCACATCCTAGGGAAATGAATGGTAGCACTACTTACAAGTGCTTGCCATTCGAAGTTCTCCATTAGTTCTTCCACCAATAGTGCATCACCCATAAACCTTGGCCACTGGAATTCCTCCACGAGTAGTTACAACAACAATGGCGCTACAAAGTGATTCAGAGAATGCCACTGTAGACAACCCTTTGTCACCTAAAATACCATATGGTTTCTTCTCTCTTGCTCTCTCTCTCTCTCTACACGCACAGGTGCATGTTTGAACTTTTTGCCTCCTTGTACACAGGGCTTCAAAGGTTCACCTGCATGAAGACCTACCAAAAAACCTTTACTGGGAAAATTACAACTCGTCATGACCTTAAATTGGTGGTAATGTTGCAATTGCCAATCCAGACACTACCACCTTCACCCCCCTTCCAAAAAAAAAAATGGGTGAAAACACCACTACACATTGCTTCTTGCAGTCCTAAAATGAAAATTGGAATAGAGCAGGTGTGAAGAAAAATCTCACATCATCTGGATATGAAAGTAATGTGCAATATATAAGCCTGAGGGCCCTCATCTCAACAACTAGCTTTTGAGTTCCACCCAAGAGTGTATAACATGGTATTAAAGCCGAAGCACCCAGGGATGGGTAGGGTGTGTCCCTAGCCTACACGTGTGTCGAGTAAGCACGCTACATGAGAGGGAGGGTTTAAAGTGAAATCTCACATTGTCTAACTACAAAAGTAATGTGCATTATATAAGAGTGAGGGCACCCTCAGCCCAACTAGATTTTGGATTTGATTAGTTAGTTTTCTGTTGGGCCCTTTGTGGGTTTGCTATTTTTGTATTCTTTGCATTGCCTTGATTTTTTTTAATAAAGTTTAATTATTTATCCCCCAAAAAAAAAGACCTTGTAACATGGTATCAAAACTCCAATTGGGGGAGGTCTTAGGTTTCTGTCTCTCCATTTGCATTATTTGCATTCTTTCTTCTATTGTTTGAATTCAAAAGTCTCTATATATATAAATATTTGCATCTTCATGTGCAATACAGAATTACACATGAAGGAGTATGTTGAAGAGCTTGACATACATTGTTAAGCCTTCATGTGCAAGGAGTTAATGCATGAGGAAGTTTGTTGGAGAGCTTGACATACATTGTTGTATGGGCCTTCACGTGCAAGGAGTTACATGTGAGGGAGTGTGTTGGAGAGCTTGATATACATTGTTAGGCCTATTTCCTAATAGCTAATGTCTTTGGGACTACTGGTGATCTAACAGTAAGGAGATGATTGATTGAACATCTCTCCTAGGCCTCATGGGAAGATAGACTTTTTCCATGGTATGTAGTTATCAGATGGTGTTCTCAATCTTATGATGGTCAACCCAAGTAAGTTCACGAGAGACAGCCCAACAGGTTTCTTGTTACTTGAGAGGCACCAGTGCTAACTTAATATACAGGAAAAAGTTTAGACAATGTTGCTTCTTTCCAATATTTTGCTAAAGTCCCTTAGAAAATCATTGTCCGTTCTGATATTAATCACAATGAACCAATCAAACTCTTCCTATATGGATTCTAGTAATGATTGTTTTGGTATGGATGGCTTGGCATTTGTCAACTTTACTATAATCTGGCACTTGTATATAAGTTTGGTTCTGGTAGTGCATCTAGAAGGCCCATATTTTGGAGTCACTATGGTTTTGAGAGGGAACTAAGTGATGGATTGCATAGTGATGGCAGTTGTGGGTTGATGATGTTAGTGAAAAATACAAAAATTAAGTTTGGCAATAGGCTATTTTAGCCAAAAAGTCAAAAAATTACTACCAAAAAGTCAACTTTTCTCTCTACTTTTCTGCACGTCTTTTGGTAAAAAAATTAAAAAGTCAACTAAAATAGCTAGTTCTCAAAACAACATACTACTTTATTAACAATATGAAGAAATTGAGATACAATCAGATCAAGTTGTTCTTTAAGGAGATTCAAGCCCACTACCATTGGAAAAATTCTTGTACCTCCTCCACTCGCTCATTCCCGCACCATAGGTTTGATCCATTTCCTACAAGTTATACCCAAGTCCAATAACATTGAGACATATATACCTCTTCAACTTCTCTTCTCTAGTCAATGTGTAATTCTTCATATTCCGTAGAACTAACTAGTCACTAATGCTCATTACTTCCACTAACTCTTCATTTATGCACCATGTGAAAAGTCTCAAAGAAATTAATAAATAACTAATCAAATACGTCAGAAAACCTTGTTCAACATTGAGGTTGCTTACCCCGCCTTACCAATATTTCTTCCATGCTTCCAAAGCAATATACTTCAAGTTCTCCTTTTCGAAAATTAAATTTGTTAAACGAGCTCGTACATGTGTCATGCATGTATATCAAAGCATTAAACAGGTTTCTAACCACCCACAAGAAAACAAAAACAAAAAATCAAGAATTGTTTCCCATCCAAATTAATGCACATTCATCACGTCACATTGTCTGAAATTGAACATTTAAATGCCTTCACAATCCATACCTCTTGTCTTTCGAATGCAGGCGGTCAAAAAATCCAAATTAGCAGAGAAATTGAAAGCTGAATTCCATTCAACATCGCTGCAGACCAATTAAAACAGAAAATCAACTTGTTGAGACTTATCAATATCAGTCTATTCATACAATGATACAACAAAACAATCATATGTGTATATGACTTACACGTCCTTGATGCAGAAACTCAGCTGATTGAGGATGTCGGGACTGAGGAACCTGCTGAGATTGTTAAATTGATTGTAGACGACCTGCGTGAAGAGTTGAACCGCGGCAGGATTAGTAGGCTGGTTCAGCTCTTCGTCGCCGCCGACGGAGTTTACGTGCCCCGGTAAATTCAACGCAATAAACACGATCAATGCTGCAACAGAGAGAATCCGAGGCCCATTATCAACCTTCTCTCTGCTCATTTCGATCACCGAAACGTCGCGGTTGCGAAATTCTTAACAGTGATGATGATTTATGATGGATTCATTGAAAGTTTGATTGAATTAGGGGAGAAATTGATTGGGAAAGTTAGGGTTCGCGTTGAGAAGGAAGAACAGCTGGGCTTTTTTTCGGAGAAAGAAATGGCGGGGAGGCGAAGTAGGAAGAGAGAGAAAGAGAGAAGGGTGAGGGAGATTATAGTTTTGTACGGTTTGATTGAATTCGAAATTCGCGCTAATCGAACTAGATGGGCAAACGGTCGAAGGAGGGAAACTGAACCGGGCCGGTTTTAAAACGGCGCCGCTTTCCCGTTTTCTATTAGGGGCGCGCATATGTCGGTACGGGACATGTTTGGTTCGGGTCAATCTTACAAAATAAAAGTTGAGTTTGGTAGAGTTTTGTAAATATGATTTGAGAGTATTAGTTGTATTTTGAGTTTGTGAGTTTTGAAATTATAATTTGAATGTGAAAAATTTGTTTGATAAAAGAGTTTTGAATTGAGTAGAAAATTTTTTATGTGACATATGATATTTGATACAAAAACTTACAACTCATAATCAAACATACAAATCAAAATTCTATTAAAGCACACAAAAAAATTTTGAGAAATTCGAAAAATATTTTTTTCGAATATATAAAAATTAACATAAATCAATTGCAAAAAAAAAAAGAAAAAAAAATTCTACTATTCCGGTCAACCGGTTGGATGTCCGATAGGACAACCGGTGGGACAACTGGTTAGGTCAAATTTGAAGAATAAAAATTGAAAAACGCGCCCCAGACAGACTTTTCAGCAAAGTTGTGGAAATATGATTTGAGAATTCTAACCAAACATCATATTGGAATATGGGTGTAGAATCATTGTTTGGAAACACAACCAAACATAGCCAAAGATTTTTGTGCCCGTTCAAATTTTGCTCAATTTTAATATCGAGTCTCTACATCTGTTCAAGTTCAATCTGAAAAATTATTATAAATCTCAAATTTACCCATTAGGCTATATGTTAGAAAAAATTAAAATATTTCATAATTAAATTCAATCACACGTTATATTTATTAAATAAATATATTAATATCATTATAAATTAAAATATTTTGTGTATAAATTTAAAAAATCCTTAAATAAATTCAATTACACATTACCATAATATGAATTTCAATAAAATCAATAAAGATAAAATCTACATCCCAACAAAAAATATATTTTTTTAATGTATTATAATTAATTATTTAATTTAATAGCGGACGGGCCCGAGCCTGAGTCGAGTCGAAAGTATAAATTTCAAATCCAACACATTAATATATTAGGATGAAAAATGTTGACCCAATCCAATCCTATGGACTAAAACAACGTTCTTAAACCCTAGAAAAATAAGATTCAATCGAGAGAGCTAGGCAGGTCGACGAGCTGATCCCTTGTGATGTCCTAAATCTACACTAAGGGTTGTAGTCAAGGGAAAATCACTAATGAGTTCTATGGTCAATAACCAAGTAAGATCTCAAATCACCGGGGAGTCAAATTAACCTCCTTTATAAGTCCAGCTTTCATAGGTAGCGCACTACCCTTTCAATAAATCTTAAGAGGCATTGATACAAAGGTCTCATAAACAACGTCAGGAATTATATTGATGTTGAAATATAAGTATATATAATAGAATAATTACAAATATCTTTAATTACAAAAGTTCGTTCCATCAACATTACATCCCAAAAGAAAATTTAAAATTTCATATGAACTTTATAAAACATCAAAAAGGAAAATTTCTAACTTTTCTAAGATAGAGGTCTTCGAAGGTTTTCGGCTCGTCATCTCCTGCTATAAGCTCCTCTTCGGCACCTAGCATGATACGTCGTGAGCTTTGAATGTCCAGTAAACGCACACACATCTCATCCTTTTTTCCCAGTCCAATACACAACAGCATTTACAAAAAACAAAGGAAATGGGACATGAAGTTTATAACACATGTTATATGGTTAGTTGTTAGAAGTCTAGAAATCCCCAAAAGAGATTTCGTCCTCCAAACTCCAAGAATTGGATGCAGATTATTCGGTATACCCGCTCTTTTGCTGCTTTGTTGCAGATCTTACCCCGGATGCCTACCAGCAGTTATATACCACATAACACCACCTGCAAGGCCTCAAAAGAGACGATAACGATGGGTCTTGCCCAAATCTCTCCTTACACCAAACTACCTAGGATTCGAATACAACCACTCTATTCAAGGATTCTGAAACAACCACTTAGGCAAGACTTGCTCATTTTAGTCCACTACTAATATCAACTTAACATTCTCATCATTTATCATATATAACTAGTGTGGTCGTCAACCATCTTTACCAACCCATTTAGTTTTCCCTCTTTTACATTAAGTTCATTACACATTAGTGGTTAGCACAAGTAACAGCGTAATAAGGACATTCAAGGTGAAACTCAAGCATGCAAGTATAACATATATTATAAATAAATGTGTCATAATGAGTTCAAGTATATATGAATGATAGCACAAAAGCATTAACTATAACAAGAACCACACTGTTCAGATTTTCAGCACTGTATCGGTTCAAAAATAAATATAGAAAAAATATTTTTAAGGGTTACAGAAACGTGGATTCTTGAGGATTTGTAAAGAATCAAGTCTAGTTTCATAATCATTTTACGAAAGTAGGGTGGCCTTTTGATTTTTAGATATTTAAGAAATACACAGACTCAATTCCAGATTTGACAACTATTCTAAAAATTTGTGTTTCTCTTAAAATACTCATTCATTTGCATTGAAATAAATTTGTTTAAAAGCTAACATTCAGAGGAAGATTTTAATATAAAAATGAACGTGAGATCATTTTTCTGAAATTTTCTAGAATTTTGTAAAGTTTTCTGTTTTAAACAGGTTCTTTGCACTAAGTATTTAGAAAAATAAAAGGACACATCCATGGTCTTAGCCAAAAATTTCACATACTCTATATATGTCAATTAATACCCAATTATAACAGATTTCGAGTTTGTGAAGGTTTGCTATGGAAATAAAATTAAAAACCTTGAGAAAAACTTGCTGGGAATTACAAGGAAAAAAAAGAACATATATTTTCAAACCCTACATCATCTAACAAATGTAGCAACTCTTAGTATCATATGAAATACATTTTTAGCATGTATTATGAACGGAAAAAACATGATGATTCATGGAAAGAAGAGGTGTATGAAATTTACCTTAGTTGCTTAGGATTTCTTCCTACTTTCCTTCTCTCTTTTTTTCTTCCTCTTCCTTTTCCTCTTAAATTACAAGCTCTCTCTCTCTCTCTCTCTCTCTTTTTCCCTTTTCAGCCGGTTGCTTTGTGTGTGAAGTGTGAGGAATATGAGTTGCTAGAGTCTTGTATTTATAGGCCAATGAGGAGAGAGAATGGTTGGTTTGGTTTGGTTAGTTTTCAATGGAAACTATTCAAATTTGGTTGTAATCTAATTGAATCCAATTAGGATTTGTATTAATTAATCTTGGTTAGAAAAAAGTAACCCTACTTAGTTGTTAATTGGGAGACACAAGTACATAGCAATAAATGCTAGCCATTTCCTTTTGTTTATTCAAAGATATACCAATATAATATTCAAGATATTATAAATAAATAATTAATTTTTCTTTCTACACATGTGGGAAATCAATTTTTTTTTATTATAATATAATAGATATTATGTACAAATCAATACAATAATAGTTGTACCTTATTTGATTAAAATATTGGGGGTTTTGGGGCCAAAATGCAATAATAAAGAAAGAAATGGGCTGAATCTAAAATTTGGAAATAAAATATATATTTAAATAATGAAAGGAAAACAAATTCGGGTCACGTAGTACTGGTTCGCAACAAAAGACGAGATACTGGACTAAAACAGCGATTACCAAAAATTATGATTTTTCTATTATAAATTTTCACACTAGGATTTCTAAATTATTAATTTAGAGTTTTAAAATGTTTCCTAAGTTCTCAGAGTCGATTGGGGTTTTTCGGTTAGCTCGTGCAGTCGCTCATGATTTCTAGGATTTAATTTGCAAGAAATGGAAAAATAAGATTTCTTATTGAAATTCTTCAACTATAAAAGTTTGGAAAATTTTCAAAAAGGTAGGGTCTCACAACCTATCCCCCTTAAACTAATTTCGTCCTCAAAATTACAATCACACACTAGGCTCAAAAAGTTAGGGATTGTTTGTCTACATCGCATCTTCACGTTCCTAGGTTGATCCTTCAATTCCACGATGTCGCCAAAGCACCTTTACTAGATGAACCGTCTTGCCCCTAAGATTCTTCTCTCGACTATCTTGTATTGCTACAGGTCCTTCTTCAAAGGTAACATCCTTATCGAGACTGATTCCTTCCTAGTTGATAATATGTGATGGATTGTACTTCTGCAATATAGATACAAGAAAGACATTGTGTATCCCTGCTAACTGCGGGGGTAAAGCTAGTCGATATACCACTTCGCCCACCTTCTCTAATATCTCAAAAGGTTCGATATATCGTGATGATAGCTTTCTCTTTATTCCAAAACACACAATCCCACGCCTAGGTTGCACCTTTAGGACACACGTAGTCGCCTACTGTACCATGCCCGGAGGGTACCCATGCGTGTTAAACAGTTCAGACCCTCGGTCTTTTTGATCTAGTCTCACTAGTGCAATGTGAAACATAGATGAGAGTCCAAATTTGGAAACTTTTAGAAAATCCATTTTATTGCAAAATCTTTTGCCAGAAATGGATTGCGTCATCAGATCTCAGAGTTACCACCTAATATTTCTGGAAAATTAGGAAACCCATGACTTGTGCCAAGGCCACTGTTTGTCATAACCAAAGTTGTCTCGATTCGGAACCTTAGATATGAGAGGGGAAGGTCATTAATTGAGCACCCCCACTCACCTGATCAAAAAATCGGCCTTTACTAAACCATGATATAAATTTTATTTATTTTATATGTTCATATTTCGATTATTTAATAAATCCTAAAAATTACTATGTGAAACATACAAGTATAAACTATGTCATTTATTTTGGAATAATTTGATTTCATATAGTTTTGAAAGAGTTTTGGAGATGTACAACCAAAATAAATTGAGTTTATGAATATGAAAGTTAACACTATTCCAAATTAAGCGACACAACCTCCATCCATTGGCATTTATACAGTTATATCATGTAAGCAAGTAGCCACATGGTAGGATGCTTAAACATAATAAAAAAAACACACACAAACAGGATGCTAAAGCATAAAAACTTACATATTTACC